TATATATACATATATATATATACATATATACATATATATATACATATATATATATACATATACATATATATATATACATATATATATACATATACATATATATATATACATATATATATACATATACATATATATATATATATATATATATATATACATATATATATATATATATCTTCAGCAGCTAAAGCACAATGTTTTGTTGGGTCTGTGAGCGTCTCTCTTGTTTTAACCTTGGAACCAGTTGATATAAATCTTACTGCATGTCTCCCCCCCCCTCCCCCCTGCAGGCCTGTGCATAATGACTGCAGCCTCCATCTACACGGCTCAGTTTCACACCAATGAAACGGGAGGAGGGTACGGGCACTCCTACATCCTGGCATGGATCTCCTTTGTCCTCACGCTCTTCCTAACAGTCACCTACCTCGTCCTGCGGAAGAAGACCGAGTGAAGAGCAGAAGAACTAACTCTGTCGCGAAGCTGCAAGTTTGATTTTAACGTCTCGGTTTGGAACAAATGTGCGCTAACAAAGAGCCAAGTTTTTTTATTTTTGAATCGAGTCCAAGTGTGTGTGTGTGTGTGTGTGTGTGTGTGTGTGTGTGTGCAGAGGAAGGTGCAGCCCCTCAAAGCGCTTCCTTCCATTTTAACCTTAACTCGACTAATGAATCACGTATCCCTGTGTGTGCTCTAACATTTAGCTTTGAATAGTTCATCCAGACATCAGTCCTGTAAAACGAGAGGTTTGAGAAGTAAGTTTTTATGACTGACCAGCTGTTTTTTGTTTTACTTGATTTAAAAACGCCGTGCCTCGTCTCATTCATGTTAACACAACTTTGTTTTGAGGGAATGCACGTCGCCCGCCTCCTGTCCTGCAGATCATCTTGTTGAAAAATCAGAATGTTTTACTAAACCTTGAAGCGTTACACAGCCGTGTTATGTTATGCTCAAATGTGTGTTGTGAATCACTCTCAACCACCACCACTCCAACGTTTGGTTCAATCCCTGATGATCCGGTTCATGTTTGAACATTTGCTGGTTAAAGCTGGAGCAACATGTGACCGACTCCAAAACGTTCATCAGTGGAAGATTTACTGAAAGTTTCTTTACAAGTTGTCCAGTGGTTCACGGTATATTTTGCTAACAGACAAACATTACCGTCTGCCTTCACCTTTTAGTGGCAGATGTTAATGGAAAGCAGGTACAGCTGTTTGCAGACTGTATTCTGCAGGAAGTAAGAATCAGACAGGAAGGCGTGGCTCGTCCAGCACCAACAAAGTTACATCAACGCTCCTGTGAGGCGTTGTGTTCTAATGTTCCTGAAAACCATCATGTGGTGATGCCGACTCCAGCTCAGCATGATGAAGGTACAGCATGTTGCCATGACAACAGCAACTCCATCACAGAAACATGGAGGAATCAGGAAACGAGTCACAGCGTGTTTTTAGTTTTAGTCATTTATTTTACCATGAGTATATATATCTCTTTTTCAGTCTATGTACAATGTAACCATCTGATATTTTTGTAGCTTTTTGTATTGAGTGTATTTTTTAAGCTATATGTTTATATTTGTGTCTGTAGATGGCTGCTAACACAACAAATGTACAAATGAACGTTCAGTGATCCGAGGACGGAGGCGTTTACTGTCGTTACAGAACTACGTTAGAAAGTTTGTTCAAAGTAAATTTTGGAATTTAAGCCATGACATTTATTAATAAAGTTAATAACAATTCAGACTGTGGTTTATTCATTAAATAACTCTACATACAGTAAGACTTTTGCACAATAAATATCTGACGATTTAGTTTCATAACTTTTACTGCATAAAAATATGTGCACATCACTGTGACCGCAGGCTCCAACTGGGAAAAGTTTGTGACGTTGTATAAAATGTAAACAAACAATCTGCAAAGCTCATGAAGTCATATTTTATAGAGTGGAGCTCAGGAAATGTTTTAAATGTTGAAACGAGGAAACTCGCATTAAAAAAGGAAGTAAATAGTATTTTGATGACAGCAACATCTTAAACACGTCGGAACTGAAACAGCAGGAGGAACATTTTGCAGCTGATTAGGTTAACTGGCAACAGGCCAGTAAGAGGACCAGTATAACGAGCAGTTTATTATAGAGGCTGAATCGTTCAACAGGAAAGATGGGCAGAGGTTCACCAGTCTGAGAAAATCTGGCAACAAATAAACTACTTTAATGTTCCTTAATGGTAAAAAGGGATGATTGAACATCCTGTTCTCTACAGTTCACATCAAAACAAGAGTCAACCACTGGTTAAAGCTCTATCATGCACAGAGGAAGTCACAACGGCGTCCAGAACAGCTGCAGGCTTCTGTGAGCTCGTTAAAAATGAACCGAGGCCAAATAAAAACCTGCTCTGGTCATTCATTTGAAAGCCCTTTTTGGAAACACTACTCAGTACTAAAGAGAGGGACCATCTATTTTATTATCGGCACATGGTTTTTGTCTCACTGATGGTATGGCCGTGCATTAGTGGATCTGATATGGGCAGCACATCTGGAAAAGCTCCATCAAGACTTGTTGAAGAGCTGATGCTTCACAGTGGCTCTCCGTCTCGTTTAAAATGTGTTTGTGCCAGCGAACTCATCCGTCCATTTTCTTTCCCCACTCCTCCTCCGCTGGTCTCAGGGAGCTGGCGTCCCATCACCAGCAGTCACTGTGAGAGACTGGGACACGCTGGACACGTCAAGTCCATCACAGGGACACGTGACATCAAATTCAAAGTGACCTGTTTTTAAATGATAAGTTTCTTAGTTTAAACATTTGTGATCCACGCTAGAAAAAAAACGTCTAATGAGCTCAGGCTGCAAAGAACGTGAAAATATTAATATTGTTTTGCCTTTATTAAGATCTGAGTACAAACAAGTCCACAAGAAACCATCTAGTGACTCTGGAAACTAAAATAACACATAACTTTACGAACGTATTTTTATATTCAAGTTTTTAATAGGTGCTGTATATCTTGGGAATTTTATTTTTCTTTCAGCTGCTCCCTTCAGGGTCACCACAGTGAAATAACTCGCGTGAAGACTTGATTGTTTTTACACCAGATGTTCTTCCTGACACAACCAGACCACCGAGCTACCACAGCCCTCTGTGTGGAGCAGAGGGCTGCTATCTGGGACACCCGGGGGGAGCAGATGGTGGGGGTTAAAGGCCTTGCTCAAGGGCCCAGAGTGGGAGAAGTGGAGGTGGTGAGGTGTGGTTGCTTCAAATTTCTCATCCACATTTTTTGATTTGGGGAGTTGAACCTGCGACTATCCTATCACAAGCCCACGCTCTCCAACCTCTGCGCCACCACTCTGCAGTCTTTCTAAACAATCATTTTAATTGTAATCCTTTTATTTTTCTTTGAATTCGACATTTGTCTGCCGGCTGCTGTAGCGTCAGGAAATCCCCTCGTATAATGTTTGATGCAACTGATGCATTTATAAACATACAAGTTAAATTTCAGCAAACTACATATAATTTTGAAGCTTCGGAGATTAAGAATTTGAAAATAATTGTGACTAAGTGTTGAAAAATTCCTCGTGAATTATTTTGTCAGCATGGCTCACATTTGATGTTTACAGTGTAACAATGTGATTAAAATATGTTCATGAGGTTTGAAAATACTGTATTCTGTTTTATTTTTACATTTTACACAACATCCTGTTTATTCCCCAGAACTGGGATTATATCATTAAAATGCAGCAGACTTGAGATGTTTCCTGACACAAAGATGTTTGGTGTTCAGTGAGTTTCCCTGGCTGCATGTTACAAGAAGTGCATCAGTGAAACAAGCTCTGTCGGGCCTTACAACAGGCCCAGTCACAAACAGGAATATTCCATTCAGTGAAGTATTGTTCCCACAGGAAGTGACGGGAGCTGGACTGGACTAAATGCCTTGACCAGACGGTGTGATTCGCTCCAGAACCACCAGGTGGAGAAGATGATTCTGCTCTGCGGTCAGAAACGGCCTGCAGAGGAACAACAAACACACAAACATGCTTGAGTGCACGATCAGCGTGGAGAATGAGTGTTTTTGAAGACTCGTGAAGGTGTGTCCTGTGGTGGACGAGAAGGTTCCTGACAGCTCACCACAGCTCAGTCTGAAGACACTTCAGGGATTCGGTGTCCTTCTCCTGACACGCCATCTGCAGAACAGATCAGCTGCTAATGAAAACAACTCACGGCTGCAGGTTCACCACAAACAAAGGCCTTTATTAAACAAGAACATTAAATCTGAAATAATGAATTTAGACCACTCAGGCCAGAGTTTAAACTAAGATCATCTCATGCTGCAGATGTTCATGTCAAACCTTCAGTGGTGTTAAGGGTGACTTTCAGCTACTAACACACCAAACTTTAGCTCAGTAGCTTATTGGCTAATGGTAATTACCGTAATTTCCAGACTATAAGCCGCTACTTTTTTCACAGGCTTTCAACAACGCTGTGGCTAATTTATGGATTTTATTACTATTATTATTATTTTTGATGGACCAACGAGCTTCAAGCCGACAAAACATTTAGCCTCGTCACACCCGGCTGTGGCTGAGTGGTTAGAGCAGTCATCCTCCAATGCAAGAGTTGGAGGATGACTGCTCATATCGTATCCACCAGCAGTCACATGCCAAAGTGTCTCAGGGCAAGACACTGAACCCCTCATAGTCTCCGATGTGTGTTCCATCAGTGTATAAATGTGATCTACAGCTCTGATTAGTCTCTTTACAATGATTTGTTCAATTAGCTTTGTAGAGATCTAGTAGAGTGCTGTGTGAATGGATAAATGAGGACACAGATTGTTGTGTAAAGAGCTTTGAGTATCTTGAAATAAGACAGAAAGGTGCTTTATAAGTACAGTCCATTTACCATTTACCATTACCCGGGTGCTCACATAGCTGCATAATACAGGTCTCTCTTGGGGGGTGTCTGTGGCTTTTGTATGTATGTGAATGTTTTTGTACAGTGTCCTGAGACGACTTCTGTTGTGACTTGGTGCAATATAAATGAACTGAACTGAATTGGTTCCTCGTGACTCATTGAAATTACCTGCATAAATAAAAGTTAAAAAAAAAAAAAATCTTACCAATGAAATTATAAAACAGGTCATAGTGAATCCAATGAAACGGGGAGGGGAGGAGAGACCTGGGAGTGGGGACTCCCCTGCATGCACAGAGCAACGTTTGCTCTGCGGAGCAGAAGGAATATGAAGATAGTGACAAATGGCTTCCTGGTAGGCTACTATTTATATTTTTAACTAGCCATGTCACAGGCACTGTTCAGAAAAAAAACATTTACTGTATGTATCTGTGTATGTTACCGTACATAATGTAGCATTCTGTGGTCCACTGTGGTTGACTGTCGGTCACATGGCCTCCGGAAGGAATTATGGGTAAAATGTATGTTCATTGTTAATCATATCAGTTAGCTGTTTAGCATTGTTCTTTTAGTGATTAGTCTGTTCTTGTTATCCTAGTTTATGCATTCATTATGTGTTAGTTTGTGTTAGGACATTCAGCAGAGTAACCACGAGTGAGAGGTAGTTGCCATGAAGACCTGTAGGGTTCACTCTGTCCGTGTGTTGACCAGTAAAATAAAGTTTCAAAGTTCATGCTCAATAATCCAGGTAAAAAAAATCCAACTAAGTTAAGTCAGGTCATCTGGATGGTTTCTTTTTTTGTTGAGACGATTCGTCCTTCATCCAAAGGACTTCATGAGTCCGAGGAGCCTCAACAAACTCAGTCCCACAAGCAGCACACTCCCATAGTGGGCTTCATAGTCAAATAAAGTCTACAAAAACGCCATCTGGTGGTTGATTCTTGATCTATGACAAGAGCTGTACATCTCTCTCAGCAGCTGTGCTGACACATTACAGTATTTAATTAAAAGTTTAAAAAATCTTTTATGTACATATCTCATGTTACAACATGGACACCCGTGGGTTATAGACAAGTGCGGCCTATAAATGTACAATTTTTATTTTATTTACTGTGTATGGCTTATATTTATGTTAAAAGGTCTTGATCCTAAAAAATCTGCAGGTCCAGATGAACTTCCACCTCATTTCTTAAGGCTGGCTGCTCATATCATCACAGTCCCTGTGACCCACATCTTCAATCTCTCCATAAGACAAAACTCCATCCCAGACACTTGGAAAACAGCCTTTGTTCTTCCTTTGCTGAAGGGAGGAGACCCCACCTCACTGAACAACTATCGACCAATCTCTAAACTCTGCATTTTAGCCAAGGTTCTAGAAAAACTGATAAACTCTCAAATCAAAAATTACCTGGACTCATTTACATCTTACCTCCACATCAATCTGGTTTCAGGAAACAACACAGCACAACCACTGCCTCACTGAAGGTTCTTAATGATGTTGTTGAAGCACTGGATGCTAAGGATTATTGTGCTGCACTTTTCATAGACCTGTCTAAAGCTTTTGACACTGTGGATCATAACATCTTGTGTCATAAGCTCTCAGAAATTGGTTCTCTAACTATCTCTTAAAATCGGAGGCAATGTGTTCAACATAACAATACTTTCTCCAGTTATTTAACAGTCAACAATGGTGTACCACAAGGTTCAGTCTTAGGACCCACCCTCTTTAAAATCTACGTAATGTAGGTCAGAACATACCTGATACATCTATACATTTCTATGCTGATGACACAGTTTTTAAATGGTGAGCTAAAACAGTTGATAAGGCTTTCCAGCTTTTGCAATCTGCATTCAACATCATCCAGACAGATTTGTTTAGTCTCAAACTTGTCCTAAATGCTGATAAAACCAAAGGGATGCATTTTTCAAACAGGAAGTTGGTCCCAGCAGTTCTTCCTCCGATTTCATCCTCAAATGGTGTCCCCATTGAGTTTGTTGATTCCTATAAATATTTGGGTATCTTGGTCGACTCACATCTCTCTTTTAAGCTCCATGTGGAAAACTTGATAAAGAAAGTGAAAGTTAAACTGAGTTTCTTTTTCAGAAACAGATCCTGTCTAACCCTGAATGCTAGGAAATGCCTCGTATCTGTGACCTTCCTTCCCTCCATTGATTACGGTGACATTATTTACATGAACGCTCCTACAAGAACCCTGCAGATGTTGGATGCTGTCTATCATGGTGCACTAAGATTCATAACTGGCTGTGATTATCGTACCCACCACTGCACCCTGTATTCACTGGTTAACTGGTCTTCATTAACTTCACGCAGACTCTCTCACTGGTACATTTTCATCTTTAAATCACTTCTTGGTCTGCTGCCTTCATACATCTCCTCCTACATGTCTCTGTGTGAGTGCAGCTACAGCGTGCGCTCTCAGGACATTATTACCTGCAGTGTTCCCTCAGTGAGGACTGAACTTGGCAAAAGGGCCTTCTCCTACTCCGCTCCTGTTTCCTGGAATATCTTACAAAAAGATTTGAAGCTCTCGACCTTGACCTCTTTAAGTGGCTTTAAGAATCTGTTGGACTCCTGGCAGGGACCAATGCTGACATGTTCCTGCTTTTAGTTTTCTACATTCGCCTTAGAATCTAGCTGTTTTTTGTTACTTTTTGGCCATCTTATTTGTAAAAAACAAAATCTGTATGCTTTTTTATAAACGTCTATTGTTGTCCATTGTTGTCATCATTCTTTGTTGAAATCAGGTCTCTCTTGTAAACGAGTCCACGAGGCTCAATAGGATTAACCTGTTTAAATAAAGGTTGAATGAAAAAATATTCAGGTGCGCTCAATAATCCAGAAATTACGGTAGTTGGGTTGAACATCTTGAATTGGGTCGACCCCAAAACTGAATCAACTGTAGGTGACCAACCAGAGATTACTCTTTGAACATTTTAATACAGGACATCCAGTGGTTCATGAAATATTTGGCTCCAGAAACAAAAACATTATGGTCCCTCCCTTTTGGCAGTGGGTGATAAATAAAGATGTTACTTCCTGAAAGTTTTCTTAAAGTTTCTGTCAAACAGAAAAGTTACAGTCTCCTCTGCAAATGTTATCACTGGAGAACTAAACTCTCTGTTGCTAACAGAAAAGACATTCGTACACATCTGTCAGCATCTGGTGATGGCTACGAACAGTTGTTTTTATGTGAGCGGTCAGGAACATGCAGTGTGTCATGAAACTCACCACCACAGACTGCAGGAGCAGGAAAACATTCTCAGGCAGGAAGGTCACTGAAAGAGTCAACGTTCATATTTACACCTCGACACGATGTCATGAGACGTGCTCTGAACTCCATGGAGTCCAAAATAATTCACGTTATGTTGTTTTGTTTTCTCCTTTCTGTAAAATAGTTTGATATTAAAGGGCAGGCACCTTGGCTGTGAGGGTCAAAGGACTCCCAGGCGTATTTCTCCAGGGTCTGAGCGTGTTCAGGTAACAGCTTCTGAGGTGGCGGCTGAACAGACACAAAGAAAAAGACAAACCGACACAAAGATTGTGTTAATGCTTCACATTCAGCTTGTTCTGTTTGCTGTGCAGCCTGCAGAGGGCTGCCTCACTTTACATGGAGAGATTAAAATATTCAACGTATCTCAAGTAAAAATCAGTGGTGAAAACACTTTAACACTTTGCACAACTACAGTACGTCCAGAACCTTTTGGGCCATGTGTTAGGACACACAAAGGATCCTTGATAGTTGTGCTTATCTAGAAATGAGTAAACTCTTGAATAAGTTAAAACATTAACAAACTTGTCAATATTGTCTGAAATAAAACTGCTTGAAAATACATCTTCAAGAATCTATAGATAAAAAGTACAAGTTTGCATTTTTTTTTCCTTTTCTGATGAATAAGATGAGATATATGCAGTTGAATATTTTTTTTGGAGGTGACTGTTGAATTAATCTGGACCCTCGGAACTCCTTCAGCCTTGCATTGCTGAATGGAAGTGATAATCTTCCAATAATCTGAGTTGGACTGAATAGTATCCATCCATCCATTATCTTTTACCCGCTTCTTCCATTTTGGGTCACGGAGGTCACTGGTGCCCATGTCCAGCAGTCACTGTGCGAGGGGCGGGGTACACCCTGGACATGTCTCTAGTCCATCACAGGGCCACCATTCACTCTCTCACTCACACCTAGGGACAATTTAGAGTTACCAATCAGCCTAACATGCATGTTTTTGGTCTGTGGGAGGAAACTGGAGCACCCGGAGAAAACCCACACATGCACGGAGAGAACATGCAAACTCCACCCAGAAAGGGCCCCAGACTGGGATTTGAGCCAGGGACCTGCACGCTGAGAGGCAGCAGCTCTACCAGTTGCACCACTGAATAGTAAAACCACGATTTGTTTTGGAGCGAAAGACTTAAATTTGAGAGGAAGCAGCTGGAAGTGACCAGTTTCAGGTCACGCAAGATTCAGGGAGTCAGTGAAATTTCGAATACCTTAGTATTCTTGAATACTTGAAACTGCTTAGATAGAGAACGTTACTAATTGGCTTTTATGTATGTGAATGTTCCTGTAAAGTGCCCTGAGACAACTTTGTTATGATTTTGCGCTATATAAATAAACTGAATTGAATATATGACTTCTTCTGTCCTGTAGTTGGTCTAATAGTGAGGGCAGGAGCTTCAAATCTGGTGTTGAGGCAGAGACTGCTCTATGGATCGCTCTCTTCAGCTCGAGGGTGAGGTTCTGCCTCATGTGGAGGAGTTCAAGTATCTCTGGGTTTTATTCACGAGTGAGGGAAGAACGGCGCGTGAGATTGACAGACGGATTGGTGCAGTGTCTGCAGTATTGTGGACGCTGTACCGGTCCTTTGTGGTGAAGAGGCAGCCGAGCTGTAAGGCAAAACTCTCTGTTTTCCGGTCGGCCTACGTTCCTACCATCATCTATGGTCACGAGCTCTGGGTAGTGAGAAAGAACGAGATCGTGGCTACAGGAGGTTGAAATGAGTTCCCTCTTCAGGGTAGCTGGACTCTCCCTTAGAGACAGGGTGAGAAGTTCAGTTATCAGGAGAGACTCGGAGTAGAACCGCTGCTCCTCCACATTGAGAGGAGCCAGTTGAGGTGGTTCAGGCATCTGGTAAAGATGCTCCCTGAACGCCTCCCCAGGGAGGTGCTTCAGGCATGTCCGACTGGAAGAAGACCCCAAGAAAGACCCAGGACACGCTGGAGAGACTACGTCTCACAGTTGGCCTGGGAACACCTCGGAGTCCTCCCAGAAGAGTTAGAAGAGGAGGCTGTGGAGAGAGATGTCTGGACCTCCCTGCTCAAGCTGCTGCCCCCGAGACCTGACTTCAGAACATGTGGAAGATGATGGATGGATGAGACTACAATCAACGCAAAAAAATATTGATGAAAAATATGATTTATTTGGCATAAAATGGAAGAAAATAATCACAAATACAAAATGCATTTGCCATTTGAGTCTTCTAATCCTAATTCTAACTGGATTACCTCGAGCAGCATCAGCAGTAAGACTCTGGATATCTCACATTTGGCCACAATGTCCAAAAAGGCGCCTTTACACATGAAAGAAAAGACACAGAGGAGACATTAACAAAGCTCGGTTTGTCTGTGTGATTTAAAATACAACACAATTTAGTTCCCACGGCTGCTGTCACCTTTTTATTTTGACATGCATGCTGCGTGAAAAGATAAATGAAGCTCATGTTGGCAACATGTTGTGTATGAATTGGTTTAAAACGTAGAAAAGTTACAGCGGAAGCATGAAGTAGACTACGCTGCCACGGCATATTTGTCTCATTGTTTTAGATGAAATGATAATTTGATCAGTTTTATCTCAAGCCTGTTCCTGTTCCACTGGCTGTCTTCTGTCAGTATCTAGTCATGGTCTTCCCTTCTGGCACATCTGTTGGACCAGCTGTTCTCCTCGTCTACAACTGAAGTCTTAACCAAATCCACAACAGCATCTTGTCCAGTGTTTACCCCACCATTATACAAGCGGGGTGCGCCGCCCTGCCAACAGAACCGAGCGTCCCACCTACCAAACCAAACTACGTGCAACACCTCCCTGACGAGTGAGACTGACAGATTCCACAAATTCATGATGCCACTGGAAGGTAGAAGGTGACGAAATTAAATAAATAAATCATGAAATAAATCATTTCAAAGGTACATTTCATTATTTAATGGTGAATTTAATTGTGTATTTAATGATGTATTTAATATTTAAATGATACGTTAAATTATTATGTTTGTATTATGTATTTATTTATTTAATTTTGTCACATTCTGTCCTCCAATGTATGGTGACAAAATTAAATAAATAAATAAATCATGAAATAAGTAATTTAATTGTGTATTTAATAATTGTATTGTGTATTTAATGATGTATTTAATAATTAAATGATACATTTCATTATTATGTATTTATTTATTTAATTTTGTCACATTCCGTCCTCCATAAGACGTGTCTCCGTCTCCCCCCGTCGTCAAAAAATGAGCGCCCCGCCATGTCAAGTTATCTAGGGGCGACACTGTTGTTCATCACTTTCTTGCAGTAGCTGAGGCCTGGGCAAGACCTGGAGGGACTGTGTATCTTCTCTGGTCAGGGAATGTCTCGGGTTCCCCCAGAACGAGCTGGAAAGTGTCACTGGGGAGAGGGATGTCTGGGTTTCTCTCCTGGACCTGTTGCCTCCACAACTCGACAACAGATAAGCAGCAGAACATGGATTGTCCCAGGCAGAGCAGTGACAGGTCCTGGTGAGTGGAAGAAGTTGTATCCACCACCAGGCACAACGGCAGAGCTGGGACAGTGGAAGGCCACCACTGTCATGTGAGGAAACTACATTTAAGCAGTTTAAAAACTACAAAGCATAGTTTGGGTTTGGAATGGTTGGTGGTGGCCATCTTGGATTTTGATGTGGCAACACAGTTTTTGATAGAGACCTTTTCTATACCTAGATACAGCCACACACCAACATGGAAATTGATACTTCACTTATTTTTCACGTTATCTTGCTCACAACATGAACAGAAGGATGACAGGTATTGCGCTCCCCATTCACTTTGCGACGATGGACAAAAATGTTGGTCTTACTTTGGTCCACCTCAAATGACCAGATGCAACCAGTATTGAAAAAACACCATGTAGATGTTGTTGCTTGACAGCTTTTTTCCTTCTTGCTCTCAGTGAAGGCGGATGCTTATCCCTCCTGCTCCTTCCCTTAACTGCTCTTTGTACGATGTTGGTTTGTGTTTTTTCGGATGGACTGTACTGAAATAAATTCATTGTGCTTCTGTGCAATGACAATAAAGCTGATTCTGGTATTCTGTTTCACAGATGCAACAATATCTTTTATTAAAGTGTTTAATAAAAGTAAGATTAAGCCGCTCTCTTGTAAACGAGTCCACGAGGCTCAATGGGATTAACCTGTCTAAATAAAGGTTGAAAGAATATATATATACAGGTCCTTCTAAAAAAATTAGCATATTGTGATAAAGGTCATTATTTTCCATAATGTAATGATAAAAATGAAACTTTCATATATTTCAGATTCATTGCACACCAACTGAAATATTTCAGGTCTTTAATTGTTTTAATACTGATGATTATG